CATACTGGCTGTAAATATGGCCAAATTCAGCAAATGCCAAAAACACATTGCTGAGTAGTTCAGGGATTGCACGGTGGATGCAAGACTAAAGTAAGGACAGGAACTTGGAAATAGTATTGTGTTTCATAATACTCTGTGTAACCTCTTATCTTATGATTCAGCATATCTGATTCTAATATTTTGTGGTAACTATAGGTTAGACTTGGGATGGTTGTTCCAGCAGGAAATTGTAATTTTTGAAAGTCATGAGCCAAATTTCAAAGAAATATAAGGTCAGACTTTTGTAACTGAATACTTTGTTGTTATGTGCTAAAACCACCTCTTACCCTCAAAATAGACTGTATGAATTGAATTAACTTTGGCAATGTATGGCATGTCATTTAGTTGTGAAAACATGATTAAACTAAGTTGGCAGATTAGTTTCTATTTTGAATTTGTCTGAATGACATTGGACTGTTTTTCTTTTCTGCTTGTCTCAATAAGGCTGCTATTCCCTTACACTGCCAGCTACACTCTTATTGTGGATGCTATAGCTGCTAGTAGGGATGAATGCCTTGTATGCTCTTTTATCCCAAACAAAAATGAAGGTTGAACCTTGCAAGTTATATTCAGTCCTCTAGCTGCCAGGTTGCCTTAACTTATGGCTCTTGTGGTTGAAATACAGAAAAGCAGTGGCCGTGTCTAATGGCTTATTATTAACTGTCTTCTGTGGAAGCTGTCTGATAGGAGTGGCAGAGTTTGACATCTCAGGTTCCTTAGGAACCTTGAAGGGGAATGGTCCTACTGGGATCTGGGACTGTCACAGTCCAACTGATTCTGCTTGTTTATCACTTTATGCCAGGCACTGGCAGGTCCTTTTTGCAGTGGAATCATATGGGTTGCCTAACATTTCACTGTAAATCTGGATTCCTATGTCTTGACTTTGAAGGTTTCTACAGAACCTAGAAATATTGCTGTTTCTTTGAACCCCTTCCTGAGAATCTCTTACTATTTTCAGTTCTACTCTGGAAGATGCTGGGAGAGTTTTGGTGAAGTCATGGTAGAAATGCCTGTATTACGGTTAAAGGCAATAGGAATACGGAGAGAACATATCTAAGAGAATTCAGATGATTTTGAATGTTTGCAAAACCAATATAAATCAAATATTGACTATTTAAGAAGTCCTCTGAACATAACTTTTCCAAAACTGTAAAGGTGGCAATGGCCACAAGGGTGGAATACAAAATCAGCAAATTTCAGGCAATGAATTATAAGATGCCTGCTGTGCAGAAAATCCTGCTGATCACAGCTAATCATAAGGGGAATTGTTTTCTGAATGAAGACCACAAGGGCTGGTCTCATGTTTTGCAGCACTGCATTCACTTGCTCTTCTATTTCTTGTACCCATATTCATAATAATGTAAAGACTTCATCAGAGAATGGAAATGGGATTTTGATAGCCAAAAAAAAAAAGTCACCTGCCAGTAATTTTGAACATAGCTGTTGAGTGGATTTGACCTTGATTTCAGCTTTGTTCTTGGCTGGCAGGTGCCTGGAGGCCTTTTGGTCTGCCTTAGAAGAACTTGTTTTAAAACAGTAGTATTTGTCGCCTAATTATGAATGCAGATATTGCACGTGTTTGTGATTTACAAGGCCTTGCTTATGTGAAACAGGCTATAAACTCTCCTTGGAAATGTATAGTAGTCTGGAGTAGATAATTACACTTTGAGAAAAGAGCCTCTGTTTCCAGTGAAAACACTGTAAAGTTATTTCAGAAATGCTCTGACCTCAGACGTTTCATATAACTTACACAAAATGCTTTCACATTTGTGCGGCAGCTAGCGGCTTGATCTCTGCAATCTCATAAACGAAAGCACAGAAGTCTCCCTGGGAAAAAAGCAGGATGTCTATGCTGTGGCCTACAAAGCTAGTGTTATTTTACTCACTCTGTTCTTTGTGTCTAGACGCTTAAACAGAAGAAACCTTGCCCTCCTTTAAACAAATCTTTCTCCCAATCACACCCCACCCCCGCAAACCCAGCTTTCCCTCAGATTTTTCTTTCTCCCTGCCTCCACTCAGTGTACACACACTAATAAATTCTGCAGTAAAAACCTTGGGAGAATTTCTCAGCACAAATGGAAAGAAGATGTCAAAGGCTGAGGATAGGAATTTTCTTTTTAAAGTTGCAAAAACAATAGAGAACAATTGAAACAATGGGGGAAGAGCCAGAGATGGGTGAACAAGCCATGACAGAATTACATTAACTTTCTTTTGCTGAAACCCCACTGGTTCTATTCACTAGCATCCAGAAGAGCTATTTTTGCTTGCAATTCTTTGCTTGTTTTCCAAGACTCTTGGTGGAAAGCAAAAGCATTGCAAATACAAGTGCAGAGAGAATTGTTCACACTTGCGAGAATGTTCACACTAGAAGTGCTCTTGTGGCCTCTTGAAAAGCTGTTTTTAAATTCTGGTACAATAAAGTTGTCAGATATTAATGAAGAATTTGTATGAAAAAATTGGGTGCTGAAGGATGACTTCAGAGAGAGTATAGTGTGTCACACTAGGGGAGAGCAAACACCAAGCAGTCATAGTTGCTGGCTTTGTCCAATAGAAAGAAATGAAAAGAAAACCCTGGATTTCTGAATATGATGTGGACAACCAGTTTTAAAAAAACTCTGCACAGAAAAAGAAGAAAAAAATTAATTGAGATATGTGATTTGGTCTTATAATAAACGTGTTTGGGTATGGATTGCTCTTTCAGAAAATTCTTAACAGAAGATATGCGAAGGTGAGGCAGGGACCACTTCTGCAGGTGTAAACAGCTGAGCATATTGCCAGCAGTTGTACCAGGAAGATGGTTTTGTAGCCCCTCAGATCTGCTGGCTGAATCTCATGTGAGCACGCTCTATCTTGTTTCTGTTCCAGTGAGCCAGCTTAGTTCAGGCAGCTGATGCAGTCTCTGCTTAGTTTCTACCAGCTGGCAGAGCTGTGGTAGGCATGCCTCAGAAAAGCTGTGAGCCAAAACCCTGCAGAAGTAGGGCTAACTCTGGGCATAAGAATGGCATTGAGCAGCTGGATGAAGGCAGTAGCAGTCCCACAACTGTGGCATGATCCAAAAGCCAACATCTGTCTGCAGTCTTGATCATGTCATGTTATCTGTAATTTCACGCTTAAGACCCAAGAAATAGGATTCTGACTGTAGCAGATAGGGGTCATGTTATTTGCAGTTTGCTGCCAGTAAGATATTCAGAGCCAGTAGCAGTCTGATAATTCAAGGAGATAGAATACATAAGCACAGCCCTTCACTTGTACTCAGTGTTCACAGTGAAAAAGGCAGAAACAGCCAGCATTGATTGATTCTACTTCTTCCCATTCTGAAGTTACTGTGTTACTGATGGTATGAGTTTGCAAATTTGCAAGATTAAAGACATATATGTGTACGTTTTAAAGTGGGCCTGCTGAAAATATAGTCTATGTAATGTCACATCCAAGTAAGTATGAGTCTGTAGACAGTGCTGCATGTAGTTTCCGGTGTATGTATATGAACATGTGCATTGGAAAGGGTCAATAAGAGTTAAAGTATAAAAAAAAATAGATGGAGACACCTTAAAGGTGCAGCAAGGTTGTATCCATTCATAAATTGTTTGGTTTACTTTGTTTTTAAAGAGGACAAGTTCTTGCAGAGTGGTGCAAAATTGATGGGATCATAGTTACCTGAGGAGACGGTTCCCATTCAGGTAGCACTGAGCACTATCCTTTGTAAAGGAGATATGGAGAAGTTAGGTAGCAGACTTGTTTCTGTGTGCTCTGCAGCTGACGGAAGACATGGCAGGCTATGGAAGGAGAGGCATATGTTTTAACTCTTTGGAAGATTTAGCAGCAGATGCCCTTCTCTGGCATGCGTCAGAAGCCCTTAAAAATAAGCAGAAAATTGGCTACAACGAGGATTCTCAAAAACTTGCATATGGTTGGTCACATCTTTAATACACAGCAGACTGACCTTCCTTCTATTTGCATTTATGTGAACCACATGAATTTTTACTAGTGTAAATTATGAAATGATTCAAACATGCTCAGCTCAACTAAGTTGCACTTGGTTATTTCTAATTGTCTTGCTGGTGGCAACCTTTTCTTATGCTGCATTTGTGCACATACACACACCCTCTCTCTGCTAGCTTGGATGGCTCCTTCTCTGTTTCCAGCTGCTTTCATACATACCCAGGTCCTTCTTTGTAATGAAACACCTGCATATCTTTCAGAAAAGAGAGGTAGAGTCTGCACTGTGTAAGCAGCCAGTTCTCTGCAGACTGCTAGTGCTTTTATTCACAAGATACTAACCTGAAAACTAGTGTTTTAGAAACCTGCTGGTAGCTTGCTGGAAGGTGCTTAATAAAAATGGAATAGGAAAGGACCACGCTGTTATGTGATTCTGTCACCTTACTGTTTGTCTGGTGGTAAGTAACAATAAATATTACTTCTGCAAATTCACGTTATACAAAGAGCAAATTTTGTCTAAAACACTTGAGACTAAACATCAACTTCAGCATTGCCAAAGATAGGACTGAAAACTCTACTTTTAGATTCCCGAGTCCATTTTTCTTTGGCAATCTAAGCCAGGGAGGGTGCCAAAATACATGGCAGATTTATATGTCTCTGAATTTATTAGATGCACTTGCAAAGAAGTTTTACAGTCTTAAAAAACATTTACTATCTGATAGGAGAAAAACTGTTGCTCGTAACTGGAATCAATAGAAGTTTTGCCATTTCAGGCATAGTTTTGCTTGTTGAAGTAGCCTGATTTAACACACAGGGTGAGCAAACTATTTGAGAAATAGCTACACAGTGCTATTATTAATACAGTGAAGAAGTTATCTCTGGAATAGCCCTGGCCTTTGGAGTGAAAAAAATTACAAGGACGTACATTGTTAGGAAGAACTTGCAGACTGTCACAGACCTGTTTCTTGCTGTGTCCCAGGACTTTGTCAGTATTAGTAATTCTTCTCTGCTTTTGTTTCTTTCAGGGCCCTCCTGGTCCAAAAGGCGAGAAGGTGAGTTGATGTACGGGTGACACAGATGAATGGAAAGCCCAGCATGAACTAAAGAGATCGTTTGTGTTGACGCAGTGTAATGTCAGATTATGTAAGAGAGCTGGGTAGCACACAGATGCTGTGTTAAACCTATCATCTCATCTTTCCACTTTGCAGGGAGATCAAGGTGATCAGGGCCCTCGGGTAAGCATCTTGAAAAACAATGTTACACTTCCCCTTGCTGAGTAGGCAATTAGTCTTTAGTGCAAAACTAAATTAAATACACTGTCTGAGCTAATTATGCTTATTAGCTGCCTTTACCCTGCATGTTGAAGTAAGTGTCTGCAGGACAGTAATACTGAACGTGACCAGATAGTGTCTGGGAAGATCTGAGTAACAGTAATAATGCATTCAAATACACAATTTTCATTATGGGTGGAAGCAGGTTTCACAGTGTTTTTGCTCTGCTGTACAAAAGCTGGCTTTCCTAACCAAACCTTTCAGTTTCCCCAGCAATGTTTTCGTGCCTTGCATGGGCTCCCACAATGCAGAGGGCTGGTGGGTTTCTAATAAATATACTTCCAGATTTCATGTAAAATGTGTCGAGTAATTAGTGAATTGTAAACAGATATCATGTATGCATGTATTAGCTCTTTTTCCTGACATGTCTGTATTTGATATTTTAATAATAATATCACCTTGTAAATACATTCAAACAGACCACAATTTAGCTGTGGAAATGTAAAGGTTCTTTTAGTTTTTAAATATGTTTATTTTAGCAGATCAGATAGATTGGCTGTGCCAGTTCATTCTTCTTTACATCTGTGCTTCATTAGAAAATATTTGGTTAATTGTTCTGATGATATAGTGATTCTCTTTGGTTACATGTTTATAAATCTCTGTAATGGCATGTTCCATGGATTTTCTTTTTTACTTTTTCTGCCAACAATGTTAAATGTTTTGAATTTGCAATTTTATTTTATTCTTCTGTTGTGTTTCATGTGTATTTCATTTGTAGTCAATAAGATTATCTAAAATCACAACATGCATTTATAGCTGAATTTGGTGTTGGTGCTGTCGGCTTTAATTACCTACAAAGGAGTTTTGTTATGTTTGGTAATATGACTGCACATTATAAAGGCAGAGGCCTGTTAGTGAACAGCTTTAAATATTATTTCAGTTGAAACACAAAAGAAGAATTAGAAAACTATTTAAAGATATAAAAAGGAAATAGAGACTAGCAATGTGAGTAGCGTGAATACACAGATTGAAGATTCTGAAGAATGTAAAAACTTTAACTTCTAAGTAAATTTAGTATCTCTCAGAAACTATGCTAGTCTGTGTATTTTGGCTAATTCTGTGATATGGCACCTTATGGAGAATGTGAGGGGAGAGAAGGCAGGGGAGTAGACCAGCACTTGTGGCTTAGGAGAGGATGCTCCATTCATCCTCTGACTGATGCACAGTCAGAAGTCTGTGCATAGGTACTTGTGCTAAGTGATCTTCTATTCAGAAGAACTGGTGTTTAGTTAAGAACAGGAGAGCAAATTTGACAAAGCTATAAGAAGGGATACATTAATAAATAAATATGGAATACTGTGAAGAGTATTACACAGCTGAGGATAAGAATCTGGAATTATGAGTATTGGAGAAGTTTCCAGAGAAAGAGAGGTCTGAATACAAAAAAAAAATGTTATATACGCAAGGGAAAGATGATGCTGTTTTCTCTTATGGTGGCATAAAATGGAGAGCAGAGGGCAGTTTTGGAGAGTAAGCAAAGGTGCCAGAGCCTCTACTGGTCCAGAAATCTTGGCAAAATATTGGACAAATGTAAGAAGTGGTTAAGAGTGTGCGTCTTTCAATCCCTGGGCTGGAAGTGTTGGCAATAGTAAATACAAACATGCAGGTTTGTTCACTGTTACTTTGCAGGTTGAACAAATGCAAGGACTGCTACACAGAGGCTATTGTGTCCCTCCTTGACAAGACAGCCCCCTATACTGGAGGGCAGTAGAATCTGTACTGGGCCATAAAAATGGTTATGGCTACACTGTAGTTTTGGTAAATCACTTGCAGCAAAAACCTTTTTTTGAAGTATATGGGTGTAGCTTAGGTAATTTGCTCAGTCTTGCTGCTTTTCCCTTTATCTTTTTTATGTGTGTTTGAATGTGTTCTGCAGCAGCCTCTTCTATTTGCTTTGCGGATTTCACAAGTAATAAGTACTACAAAGCCTCTGACCATTTTATGTTTTATGGTACAGCAGTTATCTCTTCTGATGACTGTCTTCAGGGTGAATCTGCTCAACTTGCTATGCCAGGGGATTTAGAATATAATAAATGGAAATTATATGTGCAAGCCAGTCATGCACCAAATAAACCCATTTAACCATGACTGGTTACCTTTGCACATAGTTTTCCATCACTGCCTATGTAAAATAAATGGGTTTGGAGGTAATACCATAACATATTGTTTTAGAGAAATATTGTACCTGAAAGTGACTGTGGGGTGGAATCAACATTTGGATTTCACAAGTTTGCAGACAGACTGACTACAATATCCAAAAGCAATAGACATTTTTAGACTAATTCAAATTTTACAGGCAAGGAGCCTGAAAGATTCTTTGGTTTGGTATTTTTACATATTAGTTTGAAAATTTTAAATCCTGCTGAAAAGAAAAATGCCCCAATTTAAAAAAGCCTTTAAAGATTTTGTAATGGTAGGATTGCAAAGGATAAATTGTCCAAGTATAGATTGTACCCTGATTACTGGAAATAGATCTTCAGAGGTGAATGTCTGGGAATGGAACAGCTAGTACTGAGTGTCTTAATCACTCTGTTCTCCTTGTATATATGACATAGTAAATATCTTCTGTCCTTTCATTCAGATACATGGGAGATTCCTTGCTTATGAGGTCTAGAAATCATCAGCTAGCAGTTGCCTTTAAATTGGTTTTGATCTCCGTACAATGAGAAACCATCCAGAAGCCATACTTATATATTTCCATAAAATTATTTTCTGTCTTTAATATGTTTAAGTAAATTTTCCTAACATCTGGATCTTCCCAGAACTGATAACATCTCTAAAATATCTTCAGGAGAAGAGAAAGTTCTAGAAAAGTATTCAGAAATTTATTTTATTGTGTTAAACTTTATCGACTTGAAGATTAAAAATTGACTTGTGTACTGTTAAAACAATGAGGTTCAGAGAGTGATGTTCTTTTTTATTTAACCCTTTCCCCTTACCTATTTTAATACATTTGCTACTTAGTTGCTGCAAACTAGGGAGAAATCATTGTTTTACAATAGAAATTTTGCAGGTTCTGTTCTGTGCTGGAAAATTATTTAAAAATGATCTAATGTTGACAGAAATGGCTTTGGATGCTGTCTGTTTACTGAAATAGCTCAATACAAGTGCGTGTGTAAATGTAAGCTATGTTTTTAGCTGAAGTATTGCTTCACTTGTATCATAATAGACACAACTTTTATAAACTGTCCCATGTTAAAAGGAAATTGAAGATATCCAAGCAGTACATTTTGACCCATTTTTATAAGAAAATTTCAAAAATTCTAGTTTTAAAATATGTACTATTATTAGTTAATAGTTTTCTATGGAATGTGTAATACATATATTGAGCCTTTTCCTGCTTCTACTGACAATTAATAGAAAACCTATATTCATGTCATTAGAATCAGTACCTCATCCATAATCAGATGATAGTAGTTACTGAGTGATGATTAAATTGTGATCATTAATTTTTCACCATCTTTTAAAGCTATCTTATTTTGTATTATATTTCATTTGAAGGTTAGCAATTTTTTTTCTTTTTTGAGAGGAACAGGTTTGCTTTGCAAAATAAGTAGTACTAGAAAAATTAATCTGATTTCTTGCCTTCAGGTTTTTGAAGGCAATGCTAATTGTAGCAAATGTAGGTAAGTCACTGATGTAATAGGAAGCAATGTTCCCAAACAGTGCTAATTTTTATCTTCATTCAACATCTCGTCAAAGCCAAAATGTATAGGTGTATAGTCAGAGTATTATGTTAATTAAATATAATTTTACATAATTTAAACATAGTCTGTGAATTTCTTACAGGACTGCAGTTGATGATGTTTAATTATATCATCATAAAGTTTCTCTAATTTCTATAAATACTACTAATTAATTTTATCTTTCTTAATAGAAGAACTGGGTAACTTTCATTAGCATAAATTAGCTAGGAACAGCTTTTTCTTTTTGGATTAAATACTCTTTAGTTTCATTTATATGAATATACTGTCAAAAACTCTGTAGAGGTAATGATATAGTGGTAGTATTTCCTTAAAGTGATATTCTTATGTATGTAAAAAAGCAAGTTATTCGTTTATTATGTGTTATTTCAGATGCATAGTACAAACACTGCATCACTTTAAATTCATACTTGAGCAGTATGATTACCCACATTGTTGTTTCTTCTGTTATTAATTGTCCTGTGTAAAACAAATTATAGTTCACATTCTAAACTATATTTAACCACTGTAAGAAGGCTAAAAGAAAGTTCATGGTTCCTTCTGTTAAATTTTACTAAAGCAGCATCATAGAGTAAACTGCTGAACATCTGGTTTAACACCTTTTTTTTTTTGCGAACAGTTAATCTAACTTTTGAGACTTTATTTCCTTATCTGCCAGAAGGCAACACGGGTATTTACCTTCTCTGTTCCTGGGACTAATTATCTGTTCTGCTTCACTAGTATTAGGCTGTTGCGGCTCCCCTGTTTTCCATTAAGCTGAAACTAGGATAACAAATTGGAGCAAGGTAACTTTGAGTGCTGTAACAATAAGACCTTAGGAAAGAGCTCAGACTGCAGTGGTTTCCAGCTTCATCTGAAGCAGTGGGACACTCAAATGAAAGGAGGATGTGCCTCCTTTCAGAGTTCACAGGAGTGTCCTTTTGGCTGTGGATGACTCTCTAGGGCCAAACTATGCCTTTGATGTTCAGCTCCTGGGGTTTCCCTGGGGAATGCAGAACAGCTGTGACACCCTCTTAGAGTGCCACATACACACTCCCAAGATGAGGATGTTGTCATTCCTGTCTTAAGAGCTAGTTGGTGCGTGTCTTCACTCACCACCACTTGGTTTGCATCCTGCCCCCTTTTAGTAGTGCCAAAGGAATGGTGAGGAAGGAAGTCTCTGTACATCCTGTTCCTTTTTCTACAGCCATGTCCTGTGAC